TCATAGTCCTTGCGGTTTGGGCTCCAGTATGAGTTTTTCCGCAGAAAAATAATAATAATAATAATAATAATAATAATAATAAAAAACGGAACAGATACAATAGGGTTCCATGCTCCGATGGAGACATGGAAACGCTGCTGCTTTGCAGCTGCGTTACCCTGCTTCCTCGGGCTTGGACCCCTAATAATAATAATAATAATAATAATAATAAAAAACGGAACAGATACAATAGGGTTCCATGCTCCGATGGAGACATGGAAACGCTGCTGCTTTGCAGCTGCGTTACCCTGCTTCCTCGGGCTTGGACCCCTAATAACAATAATAACAAGATAGAACTCAACGTCAACTTTTGCTGATGTCCTCCGTTGCCATTCAGTAGTGACCAACTGTTAGCAGTAGTTTTGTTGGAATCATCACAGGCTGGATCATGTATGTGTGAATTAGAGACAACTGTGTGCAAATTGGGTGGGGCTAAAGTGAAATTGTCAAACTAAAACAGTAATGTGTTTAGATGGTTTCACTAATGATGCACACAAAATTGTGTGCAGATTGGATAATGTATGTGCGATTTATAGTCAATTCTGTGCAAAGTGGGACCAGGACTGAAAAAAAATAAAATACTTTTTTTAGGTCTGAGAAATTACACGTGTGTACCAAATGTCATGATTTCAGGTGCATACATGGGTCGGGGCTATTTTTATTTTTATTTTTTTTTATAATTGTAGGGAGTGCTGTGGATGAAATAGACCATGACACCCAAAACTTGACTGCATTCCTGTAGTGGGGTAGATTAGGATTGACCATAGCAAATTGGGTGCAGATCGGCTAAAGTATATGGAATTTAGAGCCAAATGTATGTCAACAGTGTGCTGTCTGACTTTGCTGCACCACCATGATAATGCCTTTCATCAAACAGTCTTTGTGCTGATAGCAAATGAGAAGAAATTCTTATCTCTGCTTTCACACAATTTGAAGCTGATTAGGTTCAGAGGGTCAGAGATGAAGCTTTTCAAGCCAAAAAAGGTCACTTCCTGTTGTCAGGGGGCGGGGCTTTGTTGATGTCAAATGATCCCATGGTATGGTCAGGCATGCAACATAGATGACGTGTATTTTAGTCTTTRTATATGAAAGTTACAGCTTTCAGAAAATGTAACGGACAGACGGCAGGACAGATGGATGGATCAACAGATGGACAGAGAGCATTTCCAAGTGCCCCTCCTGGTGACGGGGAACAATAATAACTGTAGAATAAAAACTGCAGTTTTTTTTCTTCTTCCCTTTGACTTCCTTTGTGTTTTTTAACCTTGCCCAATTCTAAATATAACCTACTCTTGGGTTGTTTGTCAGGTGTCATGCTATTAGTGAAGTGTAGTTCCAAAGTAAATCGATTCAAATAAAAACAATACTGCAGATTATATCATAAATGTATGAAGTTGATGTTGCATCAAATGGCATCTATTTTGAATATAGTAGGAAGGTGCTTGGATTTTTTTTGTTGTTGTTGAATTTGRAATATGTGTAACATTAAACCCACATCTAGTCTTTAGTGGCTTGCCACACCTACTTGTTTTGTTGATAGTTATTTTTTTCCCTGAGAAAACTTTTCATTGTTTCCTTTTTATAAATAATGTTTTCTACACACAGGTGCTTTTCTTAACAAATCTAACTTTAATCCTGGGGGAGACCTATACAATTGGTTGGGATATGACACCTGCAGAGCGTTTTGACTGCCATCCAGAGGAAGATGCAGACGAGGCCAAATGCACAGCCAGAGGCTGCATCTGGAAGGTAGGAATTCATTCACTCTACTTTTGTATATTTCACCAAACAAACTAACTAACAAACAAACAAACAAACAAACAAACAAACAAACAAACAAACAAACAAACAGTTTCCATCACCTCATAATCTCTATATTATTTGAATTTCTTCCACTATTTTTAGCCAAGCTTTATGGAAAATGTTCCATGGTGCTACTATCCAGAAGACTATGGTTACTCTGTTACAACAAATGCTGAAACCCCTTCTGGCATCACCCTTGATATCACTCGGAACAAGAAATATAAGTCCAGTGGTCGCCCAGAGTCGCGGGACATCAACAACCTCCGTGTTCAGATTCTGTATCATAGCAGTCACATGCTCCAGTTCAAGGTGTGTATAATGTGTATTCTTAAATGTCACCCTAAATTTACTTTTATACAGTCTCATTTCATTGTCAAGTATGCCAGCCCTCTGTAAATACATGAATACAAATACACTGACACTAACAATTCTTTGACATTCAGATTTGGGACCCAGCCACTCAGCGCTATGAAGTACCAGTGCCTCTGTCTATTCCCACAACTCCTGACACAGATGAATCCAAAAGGCTTTATGAGGTCTCCTATACTTCCAATCCATTTGGCATCCAGGTTACAAGGAAAAGCACAGGGACCAAAATGTAAGTATTTTAGGAAAGCCCAAGTTCATATTGATGCCTGACTCAGACGACTAGTTCCAGTGTCTAAGCAATGAAGTTATTTTCTAATGGAATCATTTTAGTAGTACCACATGTACAAACCACTAGGTTTTGTTCCATGTAGTTACATTTAAAATGTGTTTATCTCCAAAAACATGTCCCTTTCTGGTTGATATTGTGTTTTTGGGTATTATTGTTGCTCCTATTACAAAGCCATAAACTAAGACATCACAACATATGTTTTCAGCTATTGTGCAACAATAAACATATATATATATA